TTTATGAAGGTAAATATTAATCATTACACTGATACCTAAAGCAACTGCAGTTTTCCTCAAAAATACAATGAGGAAAATAGAAAAAAAAAATGTATGTGCTATAAACAGAAGTGTGTCCTTGGCATCCTCACTTGACTTTTTTCTTGGTTTTATTTATTTTATTTTAATATTTATTTGTGTGTGTGTGTGTGTAGAAGAGTTGGGGAGCAGGACAGAGATGTGGGGGATGAGAGGATTCCCCAGAGACAGAGTGGGGAGCAGAACAGGTGGATCTACTGAAATCCACAGCTGAGGGGAGAACAGGTGAGACAGGAGAGGTCTGCTGCACCATGTGGGTCAGCTCCCGGGCTGGGGATCAAACTCAGACCTTAAGGGTAATAGCGCTGAAATTTAACTGTTAAGCAGGAGGGAGGCCTTTAGTTCCTTTTTAAAGAAATGTTTTGTTGGGACAACTAAGCATGGTATTTCCTTAGCTACTAATCAACATTAAAGAACACAAGAAATTTGGGGCCCTCCCTGGTGGTGCAGCGGGTTAAAACACAGCACTGAGAAGCTAAAGCCACTTCAGCATGAGTTCCATCCCCACCCTGGAGGTGACCCACATGGTGCAGCAGACCTCTCCTGACCTACCTGCTGCTCCCCTCAGCAGTGTACTTCATCAGTCGGCCTTTCTTGCCCTCCACTCTGTCTCTGGTGAATCCTCTCACCACCCTTGTACCTCTGGCCTGTACCCCAGTTCTGTATGCATAAATAAATCTTTTTAAAAAAATAAGACATTGATATAAGCTAAATACAAAGCTTGTATAATAGTGCATGTGTGGTCTAGTAATAAAAACCAGGCAAGCAATGAAGCACATATGAAGATATGGATACAATAGTCCTCTTTCTCCCCATGACTATCAATACCTACTAATCACAACACTGTCTGGGCCTGGTTCTACAAACTTAAGTAGTACTGACATCTCTGAGTTACTGTGCTTAGAAGAAAGAATGACATGACAAGCTCTTTGGCAACAAGAGCTTGACAGCAATCTTGCTTATAAAGCCCTTTCAGGCACTTCAAGCCTCAGTCATTCCTCTAGCAAGAGAATTCTACCTAGGACTCTCTTTTCAGTTGCTATTGCTTCCTAGACTCAACTTTAAACATAGACATAAATTTCACAGCACTGTAGTGCAACTGACTCATATAGAAATCATATAAAAAATGCCCGTTCATGGCATCCTATGATTAAAAGGATGTTTCACAGCAAACTTGACAAGTACCTTTAATCTTCTACTCCACCCTCAATCTCCATATATCAATTTCTCACAAGATGAGATGCTGTGATTTGATTTTTTTAAAGGGACTTTATACATATTCACAAAACATAGCATCGTAAAGTACATTTAGACCAAAATTAATGTAGTTCCACCAAGTGTATGCAGGAGGTGATTCTTGCACTCCAGTCACAAATGACTTAGGGGTGGTTAGCACACCATCCATGTGGGCTTGGCTTTGATTTGTAGGTACCATGAATTGTCTCCATGGAAAAAATATACAGACATAGCATTTCACTTTTATGTTTTTCATCAAACAGCTTCCTGGTGACAGAAGGAAAGGTATGAAAGTTGTTAGGGAAAACATTCTCGATTACCAGGAGGTTGTTTCTTCAGAAGTCAGAGGCTTGTGTGTTCTGTGAAGGGAATACAAAATTAAGCCTGTGCCAATGAGTTCCTTTCCTTTCTGATAATCAGGTTTCACAAAGCCACCTTCGCCACATACAAAGAAAATTGTCTACAGGTAGCTGTTTGTATGGGTGTGGTTTTTCTTTTTTTGCCATAGAATTAAAGGAACTTTGATTCTAAAATATCTGCTTCTCTGCACCAATTTGGAATATGTAATGGTTGAGACAATTTTTTTTTAAGATTTATTTTTACTTATTTATGCATAGAAGAAATGGGGTGTAGGCCAAAGGAGTGAGGGGGTGAGAGGACTCACCAAGCAGAGTGGGGATCAGAACAGGTGATTCTGCAGAGATACACTGCTGAGGGGAGCAATGAGTGAGATAGGAGAGGTCTGCTGTGCCAAGCGGGCCAGCTCCCTGGCCAGGGATGAAATTCTTTGGAGTGGCTGGCAATAGCTTGATGGCATTGAGACTTTAACCCCTGTGCCCGCAGAGAGGCCCTGAGACATTCTTAACCCAGAAAGAAATGCAAGCCCACACTGAGGACTGGTGTCTCCTGCAGGGACTGGAATCCTAGCACCACAAGTTAGTGTCCTTTGAGTTAAAGCTTTGTATTTTCAGTTTTTTAGTATGATGTGAATCCTGGATAGGTCACCGTTTAAGTAATTATGAGAGATAATTTCTTTAAAATATTTAACAATTATATTGATATCTTAAAAGCTCTTTGTGAGGGCCTTCCTTGTGAATTAGGAGTTAAGTCTCAGTGCTATCACCACTGAGGCCTGAGCTGGATCCCTGGCCAGGGAGCTGACCCATATGGCACTGCAGACCTCGCTTGTCTCTCCCAACCTCTCCTGTCTCTCCCACTGCTCCCCTCAGCAGTGGATTTCAGTCGATCCACCTGTTCTGCTCCCCACCTGTCTCTGGTGAGTCCCCACCCATCTGATCTAAACTCCAGTTCTTCTATGCCAAAAAAAAAAAAAAAAAAAAAAAGTATTTGTGAGATAAGAGAGGTAAAAAGGCAAGTCAATTTAAAAAGGCAGAACTTAGGAAATCCAGGTAGCTAAAGGAAATATGAGGGCGTTGCTTCTACCAATAACTTTTGAGCAATTTTTCACAGTTTTGTTCAGGTCCAATAGAATGACAATATCGAGAAGTTATTTTGACTTCAGAACCTTAACCTCCTGTGATGATTAAATAGAGCTGATTTGTGGTGTTCAAATGTTAAGAGTAGAATAGCCTTTTCACTTTAATAGATCCATTCCATTTCATTGCAGTATATTTTTATATGCCTCCTCTACACACACACCAAAGCCATGGCACACCCTTGAGGATGTCGAGAAACACTCACAAAGGAAAATGTCCTGTACAAATGTCCTCCAGAGCATATAGTGTCTCCATGATCTTCAAAGGACATTGAAAGTCAATGAATTTCAGCTGCAACTACCGCGCCTCATTTGCCTTAATTTAAAGGTCCCAGTCTGGGTTGTTTATGGAGTGTTTAGGTTTCCTTATAGGCCTCCTAGGATTCCCAAGCTTCTTTCCTCCTTAACTGTGTACTTCATTGCTGTAATTGAAGCTCTTTTGTTGCTGTAATTCCTTCCCGGTGTTACAGTTTCAGTCAGTATTCTTTTCCTCCAGAGTCATTAATTATCGCCATGCTCGGTGTATACTTTCGCTTATTTTACCAACTCACGTATTCTACTCTATGTGAAAGTATTCTTCACCTTTTTTTTTAGCATATGCTATGCCCTTTTAACCATTTCAGTTAATTAAGAGTCTCTTCTCTGATCAGAAAATCAGCAATCTCCGTACGGTTTCAAGGATTTTTCTAAGTTGTGGTACCTGTCACAAGACAGAGGATGACAATTTTGTTTTATTTGCTATTATCTGTGATATTATTGGTCATTGGAACTTTCCATAGCTTACTTTTATATTCTCTAAGGGTTTTTAGCAAATCATTAAGATAAGTGGGTATTATTCATGACAAGATCTTCACTCAAATACAGAATTGAAAGGGAGGATATGTCCTCAAAGGTGACAGCGTATGCCAGAAAATAACCTCTTGTTTACAGCTAAGGAAGTTTTTCTTTATAGTCTGGAAACTATTTCTCAACTTAGTTAAATGGATACTTTATTAGTGTTCGTAACATTATATTACATTCACACACAAAATCAGCATTCACTTGAATAGAAAAGGCTACTTATTATTTTATATAATGTTACGAACACTAAGAAAATTTTGTGTGGGTTTTATTTTGTTTTGTTTTTAATAAAAAAAGCAACCAGCCTTGAGCCAGCACTGGAAAAGGAGCACCAAGTATGCCAGACAAATTTGCGGCTCCCACAGAGCCCCCGTTCTAGAAACTTGACCAAGATTTCACTTCCAATTTCAAAATACTTTGCTCTTCCTCATCTGAATATTTACCAAAGGACTTGATACTTGGCACCCAATAGGAACAAGTTCTTCATGTTGACAGCCCCAATTTGTGTGTTAGTGCTTGAAATTATGTGATTTATCCTAAAGTCATCTGCTTCTGAAAGTGGTAGGAGTCGATTTCATTATATCAAAATGAAATACACTGAAATTTATTATTATTTTACTGAACATAAATCAGGAAGTAGATTCAATGTATATTACCTAAAGACTGACATTTCAGGCCCCTCAGCTATGTGTTTCAGTAAATGTGTTTCCTCGTTCATTTACTGCTACATTTTGAATCATCACCTCTACCGGTATTTGATGCTGCAGTCTCTCCCTTCAGCCTGGATGAACCCATCTCTTTCCAAGGGTGACAGTATATGCAAAATAATAAAAGACCTTGGCCTGAGCTCCAGTACGTAGAATGTTATCATATTATATGGAACCTAAAAGGAATTGATGCAGTCCAGTATCGTGGCTTTTATTTTAATTTTATTTCACTTTATTAAAACACAAATAAAACCACATGTACTCAGTATTTTTATGAAATATTGGCTGCCTCTTTAAAGTTTTTCAAATATTTTATGAATTCTATTTAATGATCTGTACATGTTTCATGTACAATTTTTTGAGTGATTTTAAGGAATTTTAAGTTATGCCTTGAAGCAAGAAAATTGCCCATCTTCCACTTAGCAATGAAATGTTAAATTATGGGCTTGATTGTGCAGAAATGGACATTGAAAATAAATGTTGATGATATCGGTAACATATTGTGTCATACATTATTAAGGCATGTTAATTTCGAGTGTAATAATGTACGTCCCAGGCTAACCCGAAGAGTAGTTTGACTTCTCCATTCTGCTGTGGGATTTCTCCCCGAGAAAAATGTCATTCCTTGTGTGTTTTTCTCTCAGGAGGTCGAGTTATGTCGTGTTAGCAGTCAAGAAAAGCTGGGCCTGACAGTCTGTTACCGAACGGATGATGAAGAAGACACCGGCATTTACGTCAGCGAGGTAAGAAATACCAAGGAGGAGAATAAAGGCTGTGAAGCTGAGTGAAATGACTCACGAGAAGAAAATCCTTGGAAGGCTTAATGTGAGAAATTGGCCACCTTCCAATACTTGTCACATTTGATTAGGAAGGTAAATTATGTTACCAGAGTAATATGATTATTATCAGCTTGTTTAATGTGTAGGTTTTCACCATAGAGTCCCATGATGGAAAAGTGCATGGTAATGTCAAAATCTGAATAAATTCCTGTAAGTATGGGGGAAGCAGAGGAAAGTTTTTGCACAACAAACATTTGTCCTTCTATTTCATGGCTTAATCAGTCCCACTAACAATTTGTTCTGCTATTTGTTCCACTACCAATTCATTTAAATGTAATATTCACCATCTAAAATTTTCTCTGCTGATGGGGATTGATAATCAGACATATTAAACATGTGTGAAATGACGAATGAGTATGTCAAGATGTAGAAGTTAGGCAAAAAATATTAATTGCTGTTCCCTGATTCCTCTGTCATGATTTTGAAAACATAGAGATTGGATCAATTTACATTTCCCACCAACACTGTCCATGGGTTATTTGTATTCCACAACCTCACCAGCACTTACTGTTTCTGGTCTTTTCAATATAAACCATTCTCACAGGTGTGAAGTGGTATCTCAATGTGATGCTAATTTAGATTCCCCTGATGATAAATGATGTTGAACATTTTTGCATGTGCTTGTTGGCCGTTTATACACCTGCTTTGGAGAAGCATCTATTTAGGTATTTTGTTCATTTTTTTATTGGGCTTTTGGGTTTTTATTTTGTTGCTGTTATTATTGACTTTTGTGAGTTCTTGCAGATGTGCCGATATTTTCTCCAATTCAGTAATCGTTTTTTTTTTTCTAAATAATAATTTCTTTCACTGTACAGAGCTTTTCAATTTGATGTCTACTGCTAGGTATCTACTCAAAGAGTGCAAAAACAGTCATTGTGACATTATTTGCAATAATCAAGTTGGAGATAATGTCAGTGTCTAAGGACAGTAAATAATATGGTATATAACCACAGTGGAATATTATGGGATATTATGCAGCCATTAAAATAACCTGGATGAAACTGGTTATTTGAAATAACCTGGATGAAACTGGAAGGATTTATACTACGTGAACTAAATCAGAAGGAGAAAGACAAATGCCAGATAATTTAATTCATATGTGGAGTGTAGAGAAACAAACAAAGGATAAAACAAAACTATACTAAAGCAAATGTAGAAATCTGAATTGAGGCTATCAGTGCGGAAGGAATAGTGTGGGAAAGAAATGGAGGAGGTAATCCAGTGGACTTTGAAGGAGGACTTTACATACCTTGGTAGAAGGTGTGGTCTGGTAACATACATTTAAAGAAGAGTGAACATGTTCTATGAATCAATCATATTGCAAACCAGTGTTAGTTCAATTAAAAAAAATTAAGAAAAACATTATTCCATATATCTATTGGTCTTCTGAATCTCCCCTTTTTTGAATCGTCTCTTCAAATTTGCTTCTTATTGCCTGATAATATGTGATATTCAAATATTTTCTTCCATTTGATAGGGTTTTGTTTTGTTTTGTTTTAATGATAGTTTCTTTTGCTGGGCAGAAGCTTTTTACCTTGATGTCATCCTGTCTTGTTTTTGTTTCCCTTACTTGAATCTACAAAGAGATCATTGAAGCTAATATTATTAATTTTAATGCTTATTTTTTTCTTTGCATTCTATTGTGTCAGCCCTTAATATACTCTGAGTTAATTTTTGTATATGGTGTGAGAAAGTCAATTAATTTGATTCATTTACATGTGGCTGTTTAATTTCCACAACACCATTTGTTGAAGAGACTTTTCTGCCTCCATTGCATACTCTTGATGCCTTAATAATAAATATTCATTTCCATGCAAATTTATTTGTGGGCTTTCAATTTTATTCCATTGATCTATATATATATTTTAGTCTGGTGCCTGACTGTTTTAATTACTATAGTGCTGTAGTTCAGTTTGAAGTCTGAGAATATGGTGCCACTATTCTTTTGTGACTATTCTTTTAGACTATTACTTTGTCTATTTAGGGTATTTTGTAATTCCATATAAGTTTCAGTAATGTTTTCTCTATTTCTTTGAAACTTTGATAGGGATTACATTGAATCTATACATGACCTTGGGTAAATGGCCATTTTGTTCTTGATTTTAAAGGGAAAGCTTTCAGCTTTTCATCAGTTAGTATTATATCAACTGCATGTTTGGGAAATGTGAACTTAATTACATTGAGATATGTTCCTTCTATTTCTGATTATTCAGCATTTTTTATCATACATTGATGCTAATCTTGTGAAATGCTCTGAGTGTATCCATTGATATTATGGAATTGCAATCTTTTGTTGTTGTAATAGGTTACATTAGTTGATTTATGTATGTTTAACCACCATTGCACTCATGGGATAAATCCCACTTGTTCATGATTGTGTAATTCTTGTAATGTGTTGTTGAATTTGGTTTGCTAGAATTTTATTGAAGATTTTTGCATCAGTATTTATCAAGGATGTTGGTCTGTAGTTGCCTGAATCAAGCATCATAAAATGTATTAGGGAACATTCCCTCTTCTCATCTTTTAAAAAAAATGAGCATGATGAGCATAAGTTTTTGTTTGAAAAGTTATCTAGTGCTGGGCTTTTGTTTGAAGGTAGCCTTTATTATTATTAATCTTTTAATTGTAGTTAGTTTATTTACCTCTTCTGTTACTTCCTGATTTTGGTCTTGATAAACTATATTGCCCATTTCTTCAATGTTATTGAATTTATTAGGGTGGAGTTGTTCCCAGTAATCTCTTATGATAATTTGTATTTCTGTGTTACTTGTGGTGTTTTCTCATCTTTCATTTCTAATTCAGTTTATTAATGCTTTACCTCTTCTTTGTTAACCTAGTTAAAGTTTCATAAATTTTGTTTATCTTTTTAAAGAATGAATTCTTAGTTTCACTGATATTTTATATAATCTTTTTGATTTCTAATTCATCTATTTTCATTCTTATTTTTATTGTTTCCTTTCTTCTATTAACTTTAGGATTTGTTTGCTCCTCTTTTTTCAAGTTGATTTAGATTTAAGGTTAGTTTGATAATGGTTCTAAATACAAAATTTATATCATGGACAGCTTCTAAATGGGATGCAATTGATTAGTCATCCAGTGAGTCTTTCCAGTAAGTTTCTATTCACTATAGAAATGTCAGCTTTGGAAATTTTCTTTTCCTTGATAGTAAGGAAGTCATAAAAACTGATCATATGTATTTGGAAAGAATCTTTTCTTTATAGCTCCTATTATTACAGTGTCTTTTGTTCTTGGTTGATTAAAATTTATTTACTAGGTGGTATAACCTAGTAACAAGGTAATCGCTAACATCTAGGCAGAATAGATCAACTTCATGCTATACTTGAAATATTTTCCTTGGAAAATGTATGCAATAAGTGCAAATAAAAAGTTTGAAGCCATCGTAAGAAACTTGATAATTGGAATTACCTCCAGTGAACTATAAGTCAACATCAAGATTGGCATGTTGTAACATTTATACACTCTTGGTAGGGCCTTTAATATGTACTTATTCTGAAATCATTTATAGCTAATATAACTCACCTACAGGTAATTACTGCCTACTAATAATCTATATCAATAGGATTTTTTTTATTTTCTTTTTTGAGCAAAATGGATTATACCCCTCTGTAAAACAATGTTCTCAAGATACAGAAATCTCCTTAATAATTATAGGACTTAGAGTACAGTTATCAGCTTTTCTCAGACATCTAGGGTAAGAACTAAAAGTCACTCTAGTAAAAAGTACATTTCCTGGGTCCAGAAAATCCTAGTATTAGCATTACCAAATATGGTACTAGCTAAAGACCATATTTGATAGCTGGAATACAAAAATGAATAAAGGGATAGAAGAAGAAGAGATGAAAATTAAATAAATAAATAAATAAATGAAAGGGGGGGAAGAAAGAGAAAAATGATCTTCAGGTTCTGCCAAAGTTCTCTTTATTTCTATTGTCACTGATTTTAAAATAGTTCATTTACATTTTCAGAATCAGATTTTTGACAAAAATATTTAACATCTAATCTGTAAAGAAATAGACTACTGATCTAGGTTTTTCAAACTGCATTTGTAAATTCTTGGGGGGGATTTTGCACACCCAATGGAAGACGTGTGTCCTCTTTGTCACAGGTTGATCCAAACAGCATTGCTGCACGAGACGGCCGAATTCGAGAAGGGGATCGTATTCTGCAAGTATGTGCTGTGGTATTTTCTTCTTTGTTTTTTGTTTGTTTATTTGCTTGTTTGTTTTGTACTGTGGCATTTTCTCTCCTTTTCCATTCTCTCGCCAACAGTTTTATTTTAGTCTTACTTTGTTTCATGTAAAATGTTAGAGGAAAAATATGCTTTTTCTTTTAGATAATAACATATATAAAACAAAAAGCTAACATTTAAACCTTGTTTCAAAATGATTTATGACATTTATTAAGAATTATTAGCTAATAACTAGTGATTAAAACTTAGCCTCTATATTCAAGTAACCTGACTTCAACTTTCAGCGCCACCTCTTAAGCACATTAGTACACCATTCACTGTAAGCCTGCCTCTTCCCTTTAGACAATGAGAATAATAAAACACTGTTGCAAAGGTCAGGTCTGGTTTTGTGTTTGATATGCTTAATGCAGAGTAAATAATAACATTAACTGCTGTTATCACTAACAGTAGTAGGAGTTATTGTTCTATTTCCCCCCAAAATCTAGGTAAACCTAGATCCTAATGTTCCATTACTATATGAGAGTCTAGAAATTTGGAAGTTTTAATTATTTGCAAAGGAGTTGCTGAGAATAGATGGAAAATGTGTGTTCTCCTCTTCATGTGGAGATATGAAGGCAGAGGCTACTTTTGGTTTAATGAGAGATGATAAGCGGATGCTGGGTCGGGGCTGGAAATGGAAGGAATCCAGGCCAATTCAGAAGTAACCCTGAAAAGCAAAGTTTCTGCCCTAAACCTCCCTTTAGCCACTCTGTGGCTTATGAGATGTTTCCCATTACAAAAAAAAAAATTTTTTTCTTTTTCCCTGGTGGCGCAGATCGGAAGAGCACACGTCTGAACTCCAGTCACTGCTCGACATCTCGTATGCCGTCTAAAAAAAAAAAAAAAAAAAAAAAACTGGCCCATCCTGGTGGCACTCTGGGCAGGGATGCAATACTGTGCAAGTTGGCCGCAGCCACTTCAGTATAAGTTTGATCCCTGGTCTGGGAGTTGATTTACATGGTGCTGCTGACCTCTCCTGTCTTGCCCACTGCTCCCCGCAGCAGTGTACTTTGGTGATCTGCCTATCCTGCTCCCTCTCTGATGACGCCTCTCACCGCCCCTGCACCTCTGGCCTGTATCCCAGTTCTGTGTGCAGAAATGAATAAATCTTAAAAAAAAAAAAATGCTTTAAAAAAATAATAAAAGGCCATGGAAGAGATGCACAGCACCCACTCTGAGGTCTCGATTAACCCAGAACAAGAACAGGGGGCCTTCAGCATTGCCTTTAGTGCTGGTCGGAACAGCAAATCAGGGAAGAAGACATGGAAGGCAAATGAAGTTTCAAACTGGGGAAACAAGGTCTCCATGGAGGCACAGGAGGTTAAAGCACAGCACTGTGAAGCTATCTGCAGCCACTGCCACACAAGTTTGCTCCCCAGTCAGAGAGGTGACCTACACGGTACAGCAGACCTCTCCTGTTTTATTTGCTGCTCCCCTCAGCAGAGGGTTTCAGTCAATCTGCCTATTCTGTTCCCCACTCTGTCTCCAGTGAATCCTCTCACTCCCCTCCCTCCACCGGCACCTCTGGGCTATACCAGTTCTTATAATCTTTTTTTTTTTTTAAATTGGGAAAACATCCTGCAAAATTTTACCTCCCTGTGACATGTACTGTTCCATCATTCTGATTAAGTATGAACCCCTGAAGGAACTGACTTTGAATTGAACATGAATGATTTCAATATTGTGCCTAGAACCATTAAGACACAATGTGGCATCCTAGGGGAAGTTGTGGCCATGACACCTAGGGTGCTGGCCTGAGGGCAACCCTGCCAGCCTTCTTTCTTTCTTCCGAGTGAACCTCAGTAAATCACAAGTATTCTTTCCTTTCTCCAGGGAGATGCCACTGAATTCCTTTTTCATCAGGGGCCCTCTGATAAAGCTTCAATTAGGAAAGACTACAAAGTATGATTAGTGGTCATTCACGTCACTCACTCTCCCACATTTTTCAGGAAGCTTCAAGAGGGTGTGATTTCAAGTTGAGTGAACTCCCTGGATGATGGCCTGAAGTTAAACAAAATGCAATGTGTCTGTTAGTGGCTATGTCAGGGAAAGGACAGTGAATTTGAAAGACTTAGTCTTGTCTCCTACCTTGTTTTCAAAGACTTTCTCAATCGCACATAAATGAATGAAACAAAAGCACTCAGTAGGAAGTGATAGGTCAGATGAATAAAGACCGCAGTAGACACTTCCTGATACAGCTTCATTGAGTAAATAGTATCATTTTAGTGCATCATGCAGATAACGAATGCTTCAAAATATTTTATTCTTTGCTGAAAAATGATTTGAAGTCTATTTACCTTTTAAATATCTCCAATTAAGTACACTAAAAAGAATGGAACCAGGGATACCCCTGGATGTTCAGAGTCATCTAATTCCAGCAATCATTACCCAATGCAGAGAAAAATACTTGCTGGCTTAAAAGTCTAGAAAATACAGTGTCACCGTGTTAAATTACCCTCATTTGCTACATTTTTGATGTTGCTGGGTCATGTTTCAGGTGTCAATTCTCACCACTGACTTGCCATGCCCTACAGCCTCGCTATTTCTCTTCCTAGTTGCTATAAATCACTTTCCCATAGACACACAACACAGTTACTCAAATCACTTCTACAAGCTCTATGGCTACTGTTGGATAGAAATAATGTACATATGTCCCATATTGGCCTACAATGTGCTTTGATGCTTTCTTGCTCTTGGTTACAGTGTGGGCAGATAAAGTTTCAGATAAACTATTTACTGGACTATCCAGCATTCATTAATGGAGTTGGTGCATTGAAGAAACAGCAAGAGACTTGATGAAGTACTGTTGGCTCCTTGAGTACTTTATATTCAGTGACAAATATGTCACACTTAATGAATAAATACATGTCACATTAAAAAGCCAAGAATTCAATTCACTCTGCCCACACAGGAAATGAAGAGTCTTAAGGGTGATGATGAAATTATATGAAATAAAACTATGACAAAATTGGATCCATAGACAAATAGTTCCCACATGGTTGATGGGGAGATTACCGGATACCCTCAATGAACAATTAATGACTCAAAGAGTCATCTCTCTTCCCCAAAGAGATGAAAATGAAATGGAAGAAAGAAAAGATTTACTTCTTATCTTCCAAGTGTCTTGGCTGGTTTTTATTTAAATGAATCTCTTTCAGCAACTGTGACTTTAATTTTATTTTCATGATGACCTACCTGAGTGGAGAATTTCTGGGGTTCTGTCCTCAATTGTGTGCCTAAAATTTCTCAAGTGTAGTGGGCTACTGCTTTGTGAGAGGACCTCACCTCACGAACACATAGACACACATACACGTGCGTGCATACACATATACACACATGCACACCCAGAGACACTCAATATATATAAGTGTACGAACATACAAGGTACGAATAACACTGAAGGGAAACCATGAGCTAATACATTCTAGTTCTGGTGCATTCTCTTCTCTGCAAGTGCTTTGACAGTCTCTCTCTTACACCATTACCACAAACTTGTTTATCCGATGTGTCCCCAGGAATTAATATGAGGAAAACTGCAGGATTGAATAAAGATATGATGTTTCTGAGCCAGGGAAGGAGGATTAAAATCCAAGTTCAGGATCAACTTTCCAAAAGAATACTGTGTTTTTATTTCCTCCTTGGGATAGTAAGTCCATAATATTCCATGTGAGCAGCCTAATCTTATGTTGGAAAAAAAATCACTAAGTAAGAGTCACTCTTGCCCCTAAGGGGGAACTCCATGAGAAAACCCTCAAAATCTCAACACTGGAACAATATGACCTCTAGAGCACTTTCTCTGTTTCCTGTGCTAGATCTAGACTGCTGCCAGTAGTTTTTCACTCTCTTCCTTTTTCCCCTCTGGTTGCTCGTTTACCCCTATTTCTGTTTCTTCATTTCTGTCTCTATACTTCCTTCACATTCTTGCCCTACTAAAATGTGAACAAAAATAACTCATTTCTCTTTTCCTTTAGTTCATGAGCTTTCAGATAAAATTTCTTAGTTGGATGCCCAGAACTTTATTCATTTATGCATACAAGAACTAGGGTACAGGCCAGGGTGTGAGAGGATTCCCCAGAGACCGAGTGGGGAGCAAAACAGATAGAGCTACTGAAATCCAACACTGAGGAGGGCAGCAGTGAGACAGGAGAGGTCTGCTGTGCCATGTGGTTGGCTCCCTGGCTGGGCATCAAACTCAAGTCATAGTGGCTGGTTACTACAAGCCGCTTGATAGCTTGGTAGTGCTGAGACTTTAACCCCAGCGCTACCAGAGAGGCCCACAAATGTGTTTCTTTCCATGAGGTCCTGAATGTAAAAGTGTTTCTCCAACATCTGATGTGTACCCCCAAATGCCAGGGCTGGAATCCATAGCACTATTTATAATGGGGCCACAGAGGACAGAGGTGGACACCATCTGGGAAGGGGCTGGACATCAGATAACCATGTTGTCTGTCCATGGCTGCCTACGTGTTCAAAATACATATGAGATGGTATCTTCTATTACTTTTAACTTTTTATTGTACTTTTTAGGGTAATGTTGGTTTACACTAAAGCAAGTCACTGAGCATGAAAATATAAAAAATGATGATAACAAAGTCATTCTTATCATGTATATTAGTTCACTCCAACCTTGGACATTTGCTTTATATTGGCACTTAGTTAAACCCATTACAGACATAATTCATTTAATCTTTATTTTATAACAACCCTCTGCATTTTTATGTATGAAATATAATGTTACATTAAAGTAACATAAGTATGTAGATGACAGAAGAGAAATTTAGATGAAGAATTTACAGTTAATATATAGTATACTCCAGTGGAGACAAGAAGAAAAGTTGTGAGAATTGTTAAACTGAAAAGGTCATAAGCTATGAGATTTAAACTGAATTACTTTGGATCAAATGATCAAATAGACATATTGCAATATACTACTAAGAATTACTTTTAAATAGACATAAGCTGGGCCCTCCCTGGTGATGCAGCCGGTTAAAACACAACATTGAGAAATGGAACCCACTTTAGCATGAGTATAATCCACAGCTCTGGAGGTGACCCACATGGCACAGCAGACCTCTCCTGACCCATCCACTGCTCCCCTCAGTAGTGTACTTTGTCAGTCGGCCTGTTCTGCTCCCCACTCTGTCTCTGGTGAAGCCTGTCACCAGCCCGACACCTCTGGCCTGTACCCCAGCTCTATATGCATAAATAAATAAAATCTTAAAAAAAATAGACATAAGCCCTCAAAATCTCAGAGGAACTACATTTCAAGTCATCATTTTCAAACTATCCTTAATTGGGGGTGTGGGTGGTGTCATGGAAACCACCTCTGCCAATTTATCTTTATTTGAGCAAAAAAGATATTAGATTGTGCATGGAAATAGCTTTTTAGGTAGACACATATGTATAGAAATTAATAATATAATGATTTCTAGTAATTTATTCTCATTCTGAATCATAACCTCTTTATGTTAATTTGATAAATTTATTTGTGAACTGCAAAAAGACAGGGAAATGGATTTGAAATGTTTAAAATCCCAGTTTCCTGTCTACATAAGCAAGAAAAACTAAGGTAATGTTCATCTTCTTTTTGTATGTAATACAGTTAATGGGAGTTTAGAAATACAGAGAACTTATTGTGGACCAAAGTTGAGATTCCTGTGTTTAAGGTAATAATACTACCTTCCATTTTCAGCCTGAATCCTAGAGACCTACAGAGGAAAATCCTAGGTGTCCATTTCATGTTTTTAAGCAGAAATCTCAGTAAAATACGTTAGATTAATTATTAGGAAAAAAAGATCTATGCATCCATATTTTCTGTTAAATTTATTGAAATACTTAATACTTATTTTAGAGTTACTTGCCCTCTTTAATTAAAATGTCTGTATATTTTTATTATATTTTATAGATCAATAGACTCGTCTCTATAAATTTGGGCAATCAATCAATAAAAAATGAAATATCTGAAAAAGAGGTTGTGCTAGCTAGTGATTAAGCACATTTGAACATGGAAATGCAATTTAAAAGGCAACCTTTAGTGACTATATTTGCTTTAACTTAAAAATGATTTATTTATTTGTTTATTGGTTTGCTTATTTTGCATAGAACAGTAGGGATATAGGCCAGAGGTGTGGGGGTGAAAGGATTCACCAGCGACAGAGTAGGGAGCAGAACAATCAGATCCACTGAAATTCACTGCTGAGGAGAGCAGTGAGCAAGGCAGAAGAGGTCTGTTGCTTTATGTGGGTCAGCTCCCTGGCCGCGGATCCAACTCAAGCCATAGTGTGAATAGCACTGAGACTTAACCCCTGTGTCACCAGGGTGACCTGGCCGGATAAATTTCAAATGTCATTGGCATGTTTTCTTTTTAATAAAAAGTTTATGCAAGTTTGACTTCTTTCACTCACCATTCTTATATAAAAAAAATCTTATTCTTAATTTGTTCTTAATTTTAGGTATTCTTAAAGCATGAACATTAAGCTATTCCATTAGTTTTATTGTTTTAGGACATGGATAAATATTAGAAAAGAACTGAAATATTGATGAGAACGTGACTGATGATGCTCTCTTCCTTCTTTTCATTAAACACTAAAAGACACCCTGAGAGTGATTTGGAACAACTGAGTCCGACCCACACAGGGATATGAGATGATTAAATGAAAATGCAATCAGCAGTGGCCTGGGAGCTCTGCCTGGTGAGAGATAACTGAGGCTCTCTAATTGGCTCCCAGCAAGTACGCAGGATAACGGATTTCAGTTGTGGGATTGCCGGTCTGCTTGCCCCAGCACTATTATCTCAGAGTGACACTTCCATTACTCTGAGCGGAGAAAGATGAACGTCACCTGTCAGGGACTGGTTAATTGTATTGCTAGATGTATGTTGCCAGGGTGCAGGTTGGACATTTATGAACATAACTGCTTCCTCTGATGTCCGCCATCCTTCAGAGATCGATATGGCTCTTACAGTAAGCGAGTAATTGAGTGAAGGCACTTACCACGAGGGCCTGAAGATGAGCCCATTGTGTGAGCTTCATTGTCCATACATTTACCATAAATGAGCTGATATTTGCCATTTATTGTGTGCAGCATTGTGGAAATGGAAACTAATGTGCCACTTTCATTTGTTTTCTAGATAAATGGGGAAGATGTCCAGAATCGAGAAGAAGCAGTGGCGTTGCTGTCTAGTGATGAGTGCAAGAGGATCGTGCTGCTGGTTGCAAGGCCAGAGATCCAGGTCAGAACAGGGCTCAAAGGCTGGAGATGCAATTTTATATTCAGTCCCTGCCATGCCAGATCAAATCGGTACTGTGGATATTTGTAAAACCAAGCGTCCAAGGTTATCATGCGTAATCTTGCCTAACTTAAAACTACCTTATCTTGCACCACAGAATGGCTGCTAAACATCTCCTTTTTTCAAAAAGCACACAAAATTGAAACTAATGATTCTCTCCTTCCACTTGCTGTTTTTTTAAATGAGTTCATAAATAAAAATGGCTAATTGTAAATGATTTTTAATTCTGTATGGCTTCTGTCTTTACGTTTCCATCTAAAAATACTTAATTGTCACATTAAGGTATCTTGAAAAAAATCTCTAATGAGACAAATATTAGCATATCCATCTTTTGACTTAAACCTTTTCATAATAACTTTGTCAAATAAAGCATGACGTGGCATGTTGAGCTTCCAGATATAATAAATGAACATTTTCCAAGTTTAGAGTGACAAAAACATCCCCCTGGCCAAAAATTACAAGCAGATAGCTTCTAAGGGGATTTTTTTTTTTTAATATCTTTACAGAGGGAGATGTCAAGAAATTAAAGGAGAGGTAATTGTAGAAGAAAAATACTATTGGTATTTCCTTTTATGTCCTTGTTGATACCCCCACCACAATGCAGAAAGGACACGATACCATCACCCTTCTATCCATCTGTCCACAGTTTGAGTGAAGTTGCTTATATCACCATTTGTCTCCCAGATTATTGATCTGATATTTTTCAGACTCAGTAACAACATACTATCTATAAATTACATTGAGTAAGTGTATTTCGGTGTCAGACTGAATCCTGACTTGAATATAGTGGTTATAAAAGATCACCCTTTCTGTGTATATTTCTTTTATGCCCTTGACCATTCTAAATGGTTCCCATAAAGCCTGCCATAGCCCCGGGCAGAGGAAAGCTACACACCTGAGGTCTTAAAAGCAGGTTAGGGAGCTCATATAATGAGCTGATGTGAATTTTTTAAATATGCATAAAATTTCATCAATTACCTACTAATTTTGCGAACCAGTGTATCTCACTGATCCCAGTTTTTGAAAAAGAACAGAAAAAGCGCTCAATGTGTTAGTGAAATTCAGAACTTGATAGTCCTTCCTTGTAGAAAAGATACCTTGATAGTAGACTATAGTTCCCCTGTCTTTTTCATGTAACTGTCGGACAACCCCATCAATTTAGAATTACAGCATTTTCTTAAACTATGTCACAGAGTAGCTATAATGAACTGTGAAAGAATAGAAATTAATGGTCTAAGACCAGATCTTATTAATCTTTGATGGACTACATATGCTTGATGGAATCAGTGACATTTTTGCATCTGACTACATTTTACTGACCCCAAAGAATCAATGTTAGAGGATGAATTTTCAAGCAAGACTTCCTTCCACAGTTGATAAAAGATGGTTGTCTGACTGAGATACTGTCCTGTCTGTCAAAATCAGAATCCGCTCTGGCCCCTTGCTCCTGCAGAAAGCCTTTGTGACACTGCAAGGAAGCTAATTGCCTTGAAAAAGTCAGATGACTAGGGGGGAAAAAAAAGGAAAGAAAATGCATTTTAACTTGCTGCTTTAAAATGTAATTTAAACAGAAACTGCTGCATAGTGAAAGAAAAAGAGAGCAAAAATCGCCTTTATATCACCCATATTTTTCCATCAACTTCAACATCTCACTATTGCATTTTTTTGCATGTGTATTTTACTCTGGAAGAATGTGGATAATTTTTGTGTGCTTTTTCCAGCCTTTCTCATGTTTTAATGTTTCAAAGATTCTGCACATTCTTGGAAATGATCTATAGTTGCTGGGGGCTACATTGTGCATCCGTGCAAGGTTTTAAAATAACTCATTTCTTCCATTCCCTGTCAGCTTTTTTTTTCTTTTCTGCCCATTTTCTCCCTCAAACCATTAAAGAGATTGCTATTCTTGCCTATTCCCCTTGGGACATTGGGCAGTGAGTGTTTGCAAAAGAACTTGTAGCCACTACTCATAAGACATGCAGGTTGTTTCTTTCTCAAAAATGGGTGTTCGTGTGTGTGCACACATGCACACACGTGCGCACACACACGAGTGTCCCTGCCACCCAGCCAGAGGCCTGCTAACAAGGAGAAGCCTCCTTTCTCTGCAGGCAGGCACTGGGGGTGGGTTGGGTTGGGGGGTTGGGGGGGAGTGGAAGAAGCAAGTAAGGAGAATCTCTTCACATTCCCTGCGCTGTTTATCTCCAGGCTCAAGGAGAGTCTAATCAAAATAGACATAAACTGACTATAAATGGCAACTCTAGAATGGATGGGGTTGTTTAGTAAGAAAAGAATTACTGGGAATCATTAATTAATGTCTGCCTTTTATGCTCCAGAACTTCCCCAACCATTTATTTAAATTTCAAAACACTCTGTTCCATCACTCATGGTATCTATGTTAGCAAACATTTTGTTGTGATGTGATTAGAGAAAAGTTCCTTGGTGTGCTTTCAAAAAGTATAAGTTTAGTGTTTGGGATTTGCTAATGCATAAAACTTAAAAAGATTAAAAAATGTAAAACTCGGACAGTTAAAATTGGGCCGGATTTAAATTTCACTCAGTTATTTTCATAGTTCATCTGCATATCAAAGTCAGAGAACTTGCTGAAGTTATTCAGGTGACATTTAAATGAATAAGGATGAATAACTGCCCCAGGTTTGGGTTCCAGTCAGTTTTAAAGAAATGCAAATTCTGGAGCGCTAGAATAATAGCTCTCTAGAGCTTGAACAATAAATATCAAGAAACCTGTGTTGCCTCCATATTAATGAGTATGCTATGTACTTGTTAATGCCCCTTCTTTGCAGATTAATGTTCTTTTAGGTATGCTTTGGTTTTCTGTTCTAGAAGTTCAGAAAGTTTGAAAGCTTATTTTGCCCATTTGTTCAATGGTGACAATACCTCAAACTGCTGTTAATGTGGGCTCACTAGTAAATTTCAGTTTCTTGGTAACACAGATTAATGCTGAAGCTTGATGATAATGGAGTTAACTTAATCAAATACTAAATTTAAGTAATCTAGTACCAAAACCCCACTTTGAGGCAAGTTACATTAATCATAGTAGCAAGGTAACACCCATTTTCCATCACCCCATGTGGAGAAACTGAAGGGATTTTTTGTTCAGTGTAAACTGTGTAAGTCTCCTGCAAGAATGTTTGTGCCCATGATGCAGAACCCTGCATGCCCCACCACCTTCCCTTGCAACATTTAAGATACTTCACCTAGGAATTGGACCTAAAATAGGAACCAGAATTCACATGGTATAACAGAGCTTTTTTGAGAATAACTTAGAATTTCCCTTTATTCAGATAAAATACTTGTTGGCTGTGTTTGTGCCAAGCCGCCATCTTGTTAACTTGGAAACCATTCTCTGGGGTGGTGGGGGTTGGGGGGAGAATGCTGGATGAGCATAGAGGGGGGTTAGGGGTGGGGGCACTTTCTGTGTAGTCACACTGGGGGACATTGTTAAGGAAAAAAGCTCAATTGTCTTCTGGTCCTATTAGTACCACTGCAGTTTTTAATAGTGGGACTGTTGGAGGTAATGAGTGCGACAGCTGTGGATTATGCAGTATGCTTTTCATACGTTCTGAAAGACGATAATGTTCTATGCTGTGAGATCTATTCTGCTATGAGAGAAAATCTGTAGCCCTGTTTCAGGAAAGGATAAAAGGCATAAGAGTCTTATTTTTTTTTATCACCTTTTCTTGCTTCTCAGATGTGAACTATCAGAGGCTGGTATTCTGAAGAGAATCATTATGATAAAAGGAACTAGTCAGGCATCACCATTTAAGTTTACCCTATTTTAGCATGAGTTCTCACTAACCTAATAGAATGTACTAATGTATTATTTTGCAGCTGGATGAAGGCTGGCTGGAAGATGAAAGGAATGAGTTCTTAGAGGAGTTAAACTTGGAGATGTTGGAAGAACAGCATAATGAAGCAACACAGCACACGGCCAAGGAGGTGGAGCAGGTAGGAACAACAATTTGAACTACATTTTTGAAATGTTGCCAGTTCTTTTTATTATGTCTAATCATGAATAGAGTTAAAAAAAATCAAAGAGTTCGATCACACATCTCTGTCATGACAAGTTTTGAGAATAAATGATCTTTCAAATGAAGCAAAAGGAATAAATTTTAAAAGTTTCTATTCCAAGTATTTCTGCTTTGAGAGCTTGAGATGATTGTCAGTAGGGCACTGTAGTATTCAAATGCTGACCTCCATATGTCACCCACATTCAGAAACTTAATAGTACAAATGTGTTGTTTCTTTCTATGCTGGTAGAGACAAACTATTGCTCATGGCAGATTCTTCCACTAAAGAAATTTTAAACTTGTAATTTTTACTCTTTGTATTTGAATATTTAGATAACTATAGAGTGTACATGGCAAGATAGAATCCATCAGTATGATTTGTGCCTCAGGTATCCTGAGGATCAGATGCATTACACACACACACAATGTACTCCTACGATGTACAATCCTGAGAAGACCAAGGAAAGCGAACAGACTCCCTGCCTTTAATTAATCCAGTGTGTCTGGTAGACTGAACCTTAGGGATTTTACATTCTTGTGGTTATTGTCTTTTTGGTTAAAAGCAAGATCAGTGGGACCTCCTTAGTGGCGTGGTGGGTTAAAGCACAGCACTGAGAAGCTGAAGACACTTCAGCATGAGTTCGATCCCTGCCTCCAGGGTGACCCACATGATGTAGCAAAACTTTCCTGACCCCCCCCCCCGCTCCTACCCGCCCCCACTCCCCTCAGCAGTGTACTTCCTTGATGTGCCTGTTCTGCTTTTCTGCTCCCCACTGGTCTCTGGTGAATCCTCTCACCGTCCCTGCATCTCTGGCCTGTACCCCAGCTCTGTATACATAAATAAATAAACCTTTCTTTAAAAAAAGCAAGATCAATGAAACTTAGATTTTTTCATGTGGTTGCTTCACAGCCATCACCTACCTTATACCACGTTATTGGCGTTTAAGCTGTCAGCTGATTTGCTTCATTATCAGCCTATTTTCATCATTAATTCTTAACACATCCCAAATGATATTTTTTAATCTTGACAAACTGAGGAACAGGAAACATAAACATTCTATCACTTTACCAAACTGAATGATGGAACAATATTGACATGCTAAATCTGACAGCAGAGACTAGGAGCGCACGCATTTCCACCACCACAGGTGACTTCTGCAGAGCCTTGAGCACTCTAAAGGATGCTCATGGGCCACTGCTCAACAGTAGCTTGTGCTCAAAAGTGCAGCTGCTGCTGGGGTGATTGCTCTTCAATACAGGTGGACAGATAGGAATTTTTATGTATGACTTTGATACTAGCCACAAATAAAGATATTCTTCGGTGGCAGATGCTGGTTACACGCAAGAAAGTCCTTGCTCCAGGCTTTTTCTCTCTTAGATACAAAATCCGACCTGTTACAGAATTGACAGGAGGATGTTGGAATAAAGAAAGAAGAGGGAAATCCTATCCAGGTGAAGTGATAGGATGTCAGGTGCTGCTGCTCATCTTGTGTCACACAAATGCTCAGTCTTCTGAGGAAATGTTGGATGTCCCTGCGGTTAGATTCTCATTCTGTAGAAATTTTTCTTCACCATGAGACTGAAAAATGATGAGAAGTACAGAAACCTTTAAAAGTCCTTTGCCCTTCTAAACAACAGTACTACATTAGGAAATGTCCTGGTAGAAACATTGCCTGTCACAGCAATAATTCCATAGGGAAATGATAAATGATAGAGCAGCATTCTATCCACCAGGATTTCCAGGTCTGAGAATGAAAAAATATTTATCTTCACGTATACTCATAAACCAAAATAAATAAATTGAATTTTAAAATGCATATTCATACTTAAAAATGAAGTACAGATCCATGTGGATATTTTGTTTTGCATACTGCCAGCCTTGGTGCCATGCCCTGTGTGGCATCACTCAGAGCCTAGCCATGGCTTTCATTTATATTGCATGTGAAATAAGAAAAAATAATACTAGCCCTCTTATATTTTTTCCAGCTCATTACTGGATATGAGAAAAATATTAATGCAAATATTATTATACAAACCCAAATGCCCACTATGAATCACACTCCCTGGGGGTTTTCTGGCAAAGTGTTGAGAAGTCACCACAATTGATACTACTATCAGCTTATAGCTAGGGACAGAGGCAGTAAGAGTATTGCATTGTTGGGTATAGTTATTTATGGCATTTTGTATCAGTGAGGTTTCAAATCAATCTCAACATGTTTCAACAATCAGAGAAATGCTTTAGGGAAAGATGGAGAATCCTAGCATAACATACACAATCCTGTTTTTTCATCTTCCATTGTGTTAACATTTCGTTCCATCGTTGCTTCTATGGAAAATAATAATTTATCTAATGATAGCTTCTCTAGCCTGATTCAGAACACTCTTTATCACCTATTCAGCCCTTCTTTAACAATAACAGGCTTAATAATGTTTAATTATATAGTTGCACCTGCTAAAGGAAAAATATATTTTTAATTCTATCACCTACTAGTAGAAACAATATATACACATAAAAAATAGTGAGTAAACTTAGACATAGGGGAATACACTCTGAAAACTGCCTCATTAAGTACTTTATGATGAGTGATGGAAGAAATGGTAATTTTATCCACAGAGAAAGAACTCCTTCGGGCAGTGACAGAAACTGTCCTTCATGAAAGTAAAAACTTCCCAGGGAATGAAACTTACATATGGGCATGGGAGTGTATTAGATGATCCTATAGCAGGAAGGATCTGGCTTCAGTAGTAGCCTATCCTAGATTTTGTGGTATTTGGCTTACCATGAGTGTTCTATTACTAGATCAGTGCGATTTCCTCTGAACTTGAGAAAAATTCATAAAATGTTAATGAAAACAATGCATCTTCTGAACTCCAGGACTCCGTATTGCTGAAGACAATTTAGACATCTGTCTTCCTCATGCTTTTGTTTACTATCACCGCAGAAACTAATAAAGTCACCTCATTTACACACCTGCACTCCGGTTTCCCACAGAAAACAAAAGACAAGAATCCCTTATTTAAATGTGTCCTGTTTTATTTCTCCCCAAGTGGTTATCGCAGTCACATTCAGGCTGTTTTTATTTTCTTTATTTCTTTTTGCATTAAAAGCTGCTATGAGCCAAGTGCCTTTATTTCTAAAATTGTTATGGATCCTAAGTGAGAGCTGCTTTCTAGGGACTGTGCTTTTGCCAAGAGGCATTGTTTTTCCAGCAAATTTTCAACAAGTAGTGTTTCTCAAAATAATCAATTTTCTTTGTTCTTTCACCTCTTGTTTTTCTTAGCCAAAAAAACAGGAAGAAGAAGAAGGCACCACAGACACAGCTACATCTTCATCCAATAACCATGAGAAGGATAGCGGCGTAGGCCGCACAGATGAAAGCTTAAGAAACGATGAGAGCTCAGAGCAAGAGAATGTGGCTGAGGACCCCAAAAGAACATTTTTGAAGAGCAAGCGAGAACTGGGGCAGAGCCAAGACACTCTGGGAAGCATTGAACTTCAGTGCAATGAGAGCTTCGTGTCTGGTGAATGCCTGGACTCCGATTGCATTGGCCACCCAGATGAGGAGTGTGAAAGGTTCCGGCAGCTCTTGGAGCTCAAGTGCAAGATTGGAAATCATGGCGAGTATGACCTGTATTACTCCAGCAGCACAATCGAATGCAATCAGGGGGAACAGGAGGGAGTAGAGCATGAGCTGCAGTTGCTTAATGAAGAGCTAAGAAATATTGAACTTGAGTGTCAGAATATCATGCAGGCTCATAGGCTCCAGAAAGGGACGGAACAGTACGGAGACTTCTGGGCACTGCATGAGGAAGGGTTCCGAAATTACAACACCAGCATGGACATGCAAAGGGGGAAACTCGACGACATCATGGAACACCCAGAGAAGTCAGACAAGGACAGCTCTAGTGCTTACAACACAGCTGAAAGCTGCAGAAGCACTCCACTCACTTTGGACCGGTCCCCTGACAGTTCCCTCCCAAGAATGATCAACCTCACCAACAAGAAAAATCTGAGAAGTACAGCTGCAGCCGAACAGTCCTCTTCTGGACAGAGCAGCAAAGAGTCTGCCTCCACCAAAGCCAAAACTACCGAACAAGCTTGCATCATGGCCTGCAAGGAGAAGATGCTGGAAAGCAAGCTTTCTGATCAGGAGAAGGCAGGCAGCGAGCACACCCCCTACCTCTCTCCCTATCACAGCTCGTCCTACAGATTCGCCAACATCCCGGCACATGCTCGCCACTATCAGAGCTACATGCAACTCATTCAACAGAAATCGGCGGTCGAGTACGCGCAGAGCCAGCTCAGCTTGGTGAGCATGTGCAAGGAGTCCCCTAAGTGCTCGGAGCCCAAGATGGAGTGGAAGGTGAAGGTCAGGAGCGATGGTACCCGTTACATCACCAAGAGGCCCGTGCGGGACCGCATTCTGAAGGAGCGTGCCTTAAAGATCAAGGAGGAGCGGAGCGGCATGACCACGGATGACGACACCATGAGTGAAATGAAGATGGGGCGCTACTGGAGCAAGGAAGAGAGGAAGCAACATCTGGTGCGGGCCAAAGAGCAGCGGCGGCGCCGTGAGTTCATGATGCGGAGCCGGCTGGAGTGTCTAAAGGAAAGTCCCCAGAGTGGCAGTGAGGGCAAGAAGGAGATCAACATCATCGAACTGAGTCACAAGAAGATGATGAAGAAGAGGAACAAGAAAATCTTGGACAACTGGATGACAATCCAAGAACTGATGACGCATGGAGCTAAATCTCCCGACGGCTCGCGGGTTCATAACGCCTTCCTGTCAGTCACCACTGTATGACCGGATGCAACTGATTTTCAGAGGATGCTACCAGTTTGGGTAGAGTATGATTGCCTCGTTAAATGTGGCATTTTTATATATATTTTGTGACTCTTTATAGTTTAAATTTTTTGTAAGCAAAAATACCTGGTAATTTTTCATTTGTTATTCATATACTGGTACCTTCTTTTTGGCTGAGATCTTCCTTTAACTTGTGATATATTCGTACTACTCATTTATATACATATATATATATATAAAAGAAGAAGAAGAAAAGAAAAAAAAATCCTTGAAGGAAAATACCAAGGAGTCGATCAATTTCCTATTTTAATGTATCTATTGTAAGTTAAGATCTGGATTTATTTCTCTAGTTTACTTATTTTCTACTTTAATAACAACTCAATGCCAAAATCTTTCTATGCTTGCTTCTTGGTGGAATATGTAGTAAATCAAACCTGTTAATTAATCACGTGCTACATCTTGTTTTATACATAATGCCACTTCTTTTGACATCCTGTTGTACATTAAACACAGAAATGGCCATTGTCTTTGTCTCAGTAAAGTGTAAGTGGACAATCTTCTGTGATATGTGGTGACACATTGGTCATATAGCTAGATAATTGTGGTAATTGTGACAATAAAAGAGAAATAAATTATTGATTATCTTTAAGAAATGTTATTAAGGAGTGTTTTATTTTCATTGTCCACTGTGTTACCAGATATAAATTAGTTACATATGTATACTATTTAGAAGACTCCTAATTGTGGATTATAAAATGTGTACATTTTCTATCACTTTTTTCCAATAAAATTGTCTTGAAATACTTCCCAGAGATTATTGTGTCACATATTCTTATAGAGATTAAATTAGATTATGTCTGTAGAGCAAATAGATGCTACATAAAAGTTCAGGAAACATGTATTTATTGACTTTTTGTCACACATGTAAAATAAGACCAAAAAAAAAATTAAGAGAAAGACATGAAAAAACAAGGTCAGTTAAGTGTTAAGAATATTTATACTGATATAGAGGGCAAATACATATTTTTATCATATACTGTTATAAGTAATATATACACATTAAAAATAGTGAGTCATATAACTATATATATATATATATATAGTTTACATAAGACAGATTGGAATGAAGTAATAAACTACCATAATGAAATGCCATGAATGGCGTTTCTTAAGTAAGTGGATTTAGGTCCTCCTTGGTGATGCAGGAGTTAAGTCCCAGTGCAGCCAATCTATCCCTAGCCACTGCAGCCTGACTTCCATCCCCACCCAGGGAGCTGACTCACATGGCACAGCAGACCTCTCCTGTCCCACCCACCATTCGCCTAAGCAGTGGATTTCCGTAGATCCACCTGTTCTGTTCCCATTTCTGTCTCTGGTGAAGCCTCTCATCACCCCTCCCCCCACCAATCACCACCACCACCTCCAGCCTACACTCCAGTTCTTGTATGTATAAATACATAAAATAAATCTTTGAAAAAACAGGACTTAATTTTCACAACTCTGGAGTCTGGAAAGTCCAAGGCCAAGATATTAACAGATACTACTGCCTGGTTAATAGGACCTTGTTAGAGTACCCTCACAGAGTGGAAAGAAAGAAAGTAAGCTTTTCTGGTGTCTATTCTTATAAATGGCATTGATCCCCTAAAAAAGGCCCCAACTTCATGACTTCATCAATCATCACTCAAAGATCCCACTCCACTATTTTCACATCATGCATTAGAACTTAAACATTGGAATCTGTGGGGGAGACACAGTTCAATTCACAGCACTATGTATATTTATTTAGATGATCATTTGAGAATAAATTTGAGGTAACTGTGTTTTTATTATTTTCCAGCCTCCTCAAGTATTAATACTTTATCAGGTTAGTTAAAGCTAAGATTATCACCTTTTCGTTACATAAATTTTAAGCTGTATGACAGGCCAGTTATGATGTCAGCAAATAGAAAATTTAGATCAACCAAATTAGATCAAATTCTTATTTAACCCTAGACATACCTTTAAAATAATGGAGATAGATTATTTGACTATTTCCTGAAGCTACCCTCCTGTGTCATGTATTGGTTCCTTATTAAATCTTTTTTTAAAGATATATTTATTTATGCATACAGAACTGGGATACAGGCCAGAGGTGCAGGGGCGGTGAGAGGATTCACCAGAGAGTGGAGCGCAGGAGACAGACCCACTGAAATCCACTGCTGAGGGGAGCAGTGGGCAAGACAGAGGAGGTCGGCTGCACCCTGTGGGTCAGACCCCTGGCCGGGGATCGAGCTCGCACCGAGGAGGCTTCGGCTAGCTTCATAGTGCTGTGCTTTAACTGGTTGTGCCACCAAGGGAGAGCCCTCCTTATTAACTCATAAATTAGACTCTTTTATTCAAGACCCTCCATTAATTTACCACTTGCTTTATTGACCCATTTTTTTTCTTTAGATCTTCTCTGAATTATTCCTGACTTCTTAACAGTCTGTTCATTTCTGCTGAAGTTATTCTATTCTCTCAGATTTCCGTGCCAAGTCCTCCATCTCCCTTAAAGCACAAATCCTATACATCCCTGCTTTTTACATTCAAGATGTAAACTGGTGTAGGATTTTCTCTTTGGTAACTCTTTTGATGATTTCTCAGCATTTTGGCATAGTCAGTGATGCACATGCAGTGTGCTTTACCTTGGAAATTTCATTCTTCGACTATATGAATCATATACATGGAATTTCCTTCTTGCCGTGTAGATTTTAAGTTCACTGAGATTTGCTCTTGCTCCCCTTTTTCTTTGTAAGTGGCTGGTCGAATGTTACCAGAATAATAATGAATGCCGGGTGAGTTAAATTATTTTATTCATGCATCCTTCTCCTCCACACATTGATCCTTTTCGTTCCTTAATCTTCTACCCTCGAGTTCTTATTTTGGAATCTTATTTACATGTAATAAAAAGCTGGATTCAAAAATTTTAACCCAATGATAGTAAAAGCAACTTAAAGCTACTAAAAATGTTATCATTTCTAACATCAATTGCTTTTATTCCAATCAGTAAAACTACGCTGGATGAGCATAGAGTTGACTTTGAAGCAAATTATTTTAAATAAGAATGCTGATCAATTTTTAAAAGCCTATGTTACTGTTTATTCTTTTGACACACCTTGGTTTTAAATACTCATTGAATGTGAGTTTTATCTACAGTAAATGTGATTTGGAATCAACCTGTGTATTTCTCCAGAATAAACATGTACCAATCACAGAAGATAGAAGTTTCATAAGTTACCAGCAGAGTCATTTTTTTTTTTTTTAAATTAAAGCCAAGTACACTTGCTAATTGTTTTAAAATGTTTAAGGTTATAGTGCTATTGCCGTTACAGGCTGAGTTCAATTCCCAGCCAGGGCGCTGACCCACATGGCCCAGCAGACTTCTCCTCTCCTGCCCACTGCTCCCCTCAGCTGTGGATTTCACTCTGTCTCTCGGGAGTCCTCTCACCCTCTTCACCTCTGGCCTACACCCCAATTCTATGCAAAAAAAAAATTAAAGTGAAATAAACATGTGAGGTTAGTGTTTTTTCATGTTTATATACTTGTACAAATTGAGACATGCCACTTTCAAAAATCAGTAAGAATCTGAATAGTACTGTGTTTTATCTTTTATATAACATAACTTCATGCTTAGCATGTTTTTTTAGTGAGTAATAAATCTGTTGTGCAACCAAGCAATGTGGGCTACATGTGGGATATTTTGTGTCAATTCAGAAGAAAAAATATCTGAATATAAAGAAGATAATTTTAATTTGAGTTTACTTTTGAAATCCATATTGATTATTACCTTTCACATGCAAGATGTGATAAAAATATGTGTAAGGTTCCATGAGTTTAGGAAGACCTCAGAGGTTAAAACACAAGGGCTATTTCCTGGGTGTTTCTTCACAGCAGACTCTCATCATCCTGCCAATGAGCTTCCCCTCTCTGCTTCAAATTCTGCTTGAAGATGGTGTCCCTGTTCACCTTCCTTATGCTCAGTTCCAGAGTCTTCTGGGTCTTCTTTTCATCTGGTCGGGCTCAAAACAATGTTAATTTTTCTTCAAAATGTATCAGATGATCTTGCACCTTTTGGCTGGACTGGACTGTCACTGGTGATGCTTAACAACTTTGATGGTCCATACCTGTTCTCCCTGCACGCCCTTCCGAATCTAGTGTCATCAGTGACATTTCCAGCACTGTTTGGGACATCTTCACAGTCTTTTCCTGAGCAAGAGATAAAATCTCAGTGCTGGATATATTACATAAAGACATCCCACATTTAACTTTGACCTTATTTTCTGTCTGACTTCATACTTCTCTCCAGGTGGGATTTCTAATACCTCAAGGAATTTGTATCTTGCAAAACTTGCAGGCAACATATAGATGTGAGACATACAGCAGGGGCGCAGAAAAGAGGGGTGCCAGAACAGGGAGGGAAGAGCACAAGAGACTGTGATGATGGTAGTAGGAGAATTAGGGGACTACACCAATTAGAGGAGAAATCAACTACTGTCTCAAAATGAACAACGTAAGAAAATAAAAAATGTCTTGAATAGATGAACTCATGCTCTTTGAAACAAGGATCCTTTCAATTTTAATTGAAATTTAATTAAATTGGATTTGTATTCATTTTTATGTATGCAAACATCATTACTCATATTTCTTTTGTAATCATTATTCAATTGCTACAATTAATATAACATATTAATTATAACATTAATTAACATATTAATGTAACATAATATTTTTTATTAATTTTCAATAAGTAAAACTAAACTCTTCAACAGATTCACCAACAATCCAAATCTAAGAAAAGCAGTAAAAAACTTTCCCAGTAAATTATTCCCCACTTCTCTAATGTTTTGTTCTCATCAATTTGATAGGATCTTCCAATATGTATATTTGGGAAGATGGCAAAATACTTAAAATTTAGATTAAACAAATCATTTCTCCTGTATGCTAGGTTTTCAGAATTTCAGTAAATACTGACTCCAGAAGACACTGGGAGGGCTGCCCTGACAGGGAGCTAACCCACATGGCTCAGTGTGATACAGGGCAGAGGGGTCCCTAAGTAGGCCTTGCAAGACCTCTCTGCCCAAATACTTTACTGGTTAATGTCTGGGTTCTTTACCCACGCACAATGGCAAGACTGCTCAGGCTTGACGTATAACTGTTACAGGGCACCCCAATGTGAACTGGGTTGCCTGTCTGTGGGTCCTCACTTGTGCACTTAAGATTCACTTGTACTGCTGACACACACAAAAAGGTCAATAAGGGGTTTATTTATAAGGGGGAAGGAAAAGGAACAACCCAGGGAAAGAGAGAGAGAGAGAGAGACAAGTTAATTAGAGCATCCTACCAGTTCCCCTGACTTGGAACCCCAATAGCACCTTGAAAGCTGGTCAAGAGTCAAGTGATCAGCCACCAGCTACGAGACCAAGGGAGAGAGCCTCAGCTCAACATGTTTCCTTTATATCTATCCCAAAAGTGTTAACATGGCTGCTTAGCTCCACCCTTGGGTCCCCGCAGTCCTCTCGTTGTTGTTGTGGAGGTGTAGTTTCAGTGACTGGAGTAGGGGTGGAGTACACAAAACCTGTATTTGCAGAGTTTATTCAGGACATCCTTTCCCCCTAACATAACAGAGGAATTTGTT